GTTGTAGGGTAAAGGATTTTGATTGTGATGTTTTCTTCTACACCTTGACTTTGGTCTTCCTATTATATAACCAGTTACTGGGTGGTGCTACATGTAGAACTATCCACACCTGATTCAGTGATGCACATGTTTCTTCAATCACAACCAAAAGTAGTATAAAATCATATGAACTAGAAGTCCTTTGAGACTATTGTTCGATTCAAGTTCATAGTTTCAGTATACATCTGTGTGATAGGTTTCAATTGTTCTTAGTTACCATCTAGCGTCACTTTATTGAAATTTCTCTTTAGCTCAATTTGGTTGTAATTTATGAAGTATGGTCATCACTGAAATAGGTGTGGAAAATTTCACATGTTGCAACACCCAATAGCTGACCATTTAACTCAAACACCTTGGGAACCAAGATTTTCATCAAGAACAGGCTGTTTTTTCAGATTAAATATATTCAACTTACACAGAAATGTGTATCTCTGGGCACTTTGTTAGCTGGTTTATACAGGTTTCTGAATAAGACAGAGTTCTGTTTAGACAATTAAATGGTATCAAAATCAGAAACGTTACGTATGATTTAGTTGCAGTTACAAAGAAGGGTTGATTCCTGGTCTTTATACAGTAATTGCAGTTAACCCTGTTGGAGCCAAACATCACTGATATGGATTCAGAATACATTTGGAATAACACAATTACAACTCGTTGAATTTTCATGGTTAAAAAGTTTGCATATATATATAGTACAGGTGTAAACTTAAGCTATTGTGTAGCTGAAGTCAAAGTGATGGATTTCCTCCCGGTCAGTAGCTATGTGGTAACATCGTGTTGGACTTGACCATATCCTGTGAAGAAAGAAAAACATTGAAATCAATTATAAATGGAATTATTCCACCATTAGATTGTCTTCTAAATCTAACGGTTCTGCTTTTGATATGAAATACCTTTGGATTTTCTTACAGCAGAATTGAAGATATCATTTGCCTTGTCTAGAAACTGTTACATATCCTGCATACCTGCGATCTCAGAATTATGCTTTGATAAATATAAAAGTGGAACATGGACCAGCTTTATGGTAGCAAGACTGGCTTCAATCTCAGAGAAGCTCTTTAGTAATGTTCAGTTAAGTTCAGGTACCGCTGTCTATCAGCCTTGCAATTGGTATCCTGAAAATTTATACTTAAAGATGGTTGCCAGTGTATGACATAAGCTTGTTAAGCATCTCTACACCAGGTGAGTTTTAAGGTCATGACCTACCTGATTTGCCTTAATGGTTTCACTCCAGTCCTGTTGTCCAATCAGTGGGATGGCCTTCATTAGTACTTTCAGTGCATTGGAGGCGTTTAACTTGAACGTCTTCATGACATTTTGAACATTGACCTTTCAAAGGGAGAAAATATACATTCAATTATACAGATATTTCACGTGAATAGAATTAAATCTAAACACAGAATTTATTTGAAATTTACCTGATGATATATATATACATTTGTACATAATGTACCATATGTCTGTGGGTTGATTTTAGATTCAAATCTAGCGATCTTCTTGAGAATCTGCTAGACTAAATATATTGCCATTATGTGAGGATATTGTTTCAGGATGAAAGGAACAAACAATGGATTGTTTGGCATGATCACATTGAAACTAAGTAACCTCACTTACACTTTCAGTATTGTCCCGCCAGCTGTCGTAATCTGTGACAAGAGCCATTGACGCATAGCAAAGTCCTGCTTCCTTAGCTAACACAACCTGACAACGATAAAAAGTCATTGACTCAACATAATATAATAACCATTGTTCTGCTCAGAGTCATACTGACATAAAAGTTAACAAGGAGATAACCCATTATATTGCTTTCAAATAATGTCATTGTGTTAATAAGAGGAGAGGAAAAATGCACGTCCAGACCAGGATTTGAACCCAGGACCTACCAAAATCAAGACGGATGCTTGACCAACTGAGATACCTGGTCGCTACACTATATTTTTACAAGACATCTCAATTAGGACCACGATAATCATCAATCAATGTTTAGCCACAGTATAAGCTTGATCGATTTTCAAATATAGTTATTCATATAGATTCTCTCAAATGTTTTAACCTATTAGTGCTGTCATTAATTACTTGTACAATACTTGTAGTCAGGTTAATATACCATTGCCTTGGGTCCCGTTTTAAACATTCTTTCAAGAAGAAATATTTTGGTTAATCAATTTTTATCTTATTGACATGTCTATGCAACATTTAAAAGTCACTTTTTGGGTCTTGTAGTCAGGTTTATTAACATATGGTAGATATACCCCGGCACCAACTTAAATGTATCTTGCACTGGCATTCTAGGCCATTTACATTTATCATGATCCAAACAGTTGAATCTGTTGGACCAGAGTTGTTCGTTTATGAAATAAGGTTGGACCTAGTAATCTGATGCTACTTTCAGGAGAGCCTTGACAAAGCCTTACATGTCCTGCATTAACATTTGCAGATCCGCTAGTATTGATACTTGAAAATGTTACATTTAAAAACAGACAAACTGTTTGTTCCAAATAAACGAACAAGCCCTAGTTTTACATTATCTCCAAATAATCTATACACTTTACCAAACACTGAAAGATATATATGACCTAAAACAGTGGTAGCAATTTAAAAGGGAGATAACAACAGGAAAAACCTATGACAGTGCTTCAGTACAGCAGCCCAATTAACATTAAAAGGAAGTAAACCCCCAAACCTTACAGTAGTGGCAGTAAGGACTTATAACATTAAAGGGGGATAATTAATTACATTATCGTGGTAACTGTAGTCGAGTTGAAATATTGGTACCTTTTACTTAATGTCTGGTCCTGTATTTGTGTTCATAGAGTTAAATGAATGGGAAATATATCCTTGTATTGACTCCATCTTCTCCAGTCACGTTTATACATGTACTGAAGTTAGGTTTGTCCAAAATGCAATTTGACCTCCAGAAAGAAATGTATTCATGTTGATTTATTGTTTCACGGGGGATAATCCATTATTTCATATTACCTGGTAGGTATACTTTGGGCGTGTTAAGACGTCAAAGACAGATTACCTATTTTACTTATGCGACATCAAAAAGGAAGGGGCGATAATTCATTACATTACCTCAGGTACTGTTGTCATGTTTATACAATGAGCTCCCCAGGAATGGAAGAGCTTGCTCTCAGCTTTTGAAGAAAACCGTGGTCCCTCGATGGTCAGCATAGTGCCCCCTTTGTGGCACCCAATCGAAAGCTCTTTTGCACAGTTGTACAGAAGCTACAAGATCAATCGATTAAGATTATTATCATTCAGTTGTCATAGTTCATCTTTTTACACATTCTTTGTTTCTTCTTATAAATACTGATGGTGACAGTGTACACGTTAATTTTTCTAACATCAGAAACACATTATTTCAAGGTAAATCAAAAGTGTCAGTTGCTCTTGTCTCAGTTTCTAATGATGCCATATGTTACCTCTTGGTGTGAGAGATGATTGATGGCTTTTATCAATTAGGTTTATGACAAAGACTAAACGGGAGAATCTCAACAAGTTAGATATCTAATAAGATTGACCTTACATGAACATTTATAATTGGGTAACAGAAGAAAGATAAATGTACAGCCAGATGGGGCTTAAAACCCTGGACCCTCC